GCTCGTTGACGGTCAATGACGATTCGTCGGTGCAAATACTGGTCGAAGAAGCTTGCAAGATCGACGAAATCGACTTGGACATGTGCCAGAAGCGGTTGGAAGAGGGTCGAAATCAGTTGCGCGAAATTTCTAATGATGAGAAAAAGTCTGCCGAAAAAATGATCGAAATCGAGGCTTACGAAGCGTTAGTCAGGGCTTGCCAAGAAACCCCGAAATAGCCATGATGTATTTATTGATGGAGTGAGTCACTAAAGAGCTGTGGTAATCCGTTTATCCATGATTTTGCTGTTTGTCAGCACGATTAAATGTATTATCTATTTTCATAGATAATTATTATACATAAAACGTTTGCTGAACGTATGGTGCAGTCATTTGCTTCCTTGCCTTTGATATGCAAGTCTGTATTGTAGTTTTCTGCTATTCTTTTTATGACTGACGTGACGTATCCGTAGTAATAAAGGCCTAGTACCAGGTTTAGAATAATTATTGTTTTAAAACTGTAGATCTTAGTATATCGCATGTCTTGATCTTGATGAAAATAATCTATCACTCTGAATAGTCCGAGTTGGTGAATAAAAAATTTTGCACAGTCCTCATAACCTGTTGCCATGAATCATAAATCAGGGAATAGTACCACTCTGTTTTGATGTTCCACTCCGGCGAACCATTCCAGGCTCCTTCGTATTTTAGATTTGTAGAAAGCCACAAAACTCTAATAGGTACTTAATTCCACTATCCGCTAGACTTTAGTTAGTATTATGAAACTCTTTCACATGAGATCAAAGGTTTTTCGCAACCTTTCAAAATGTACTGGATACCTGGATAATGTAATTAACTCTGTTCTCATGTAAGCGTTACATCGTATTCAGTAGGAGGTTTAAAACAGGATGAGGAGCTAGCTTGAAATTGGCATTCAAAAATATTCTGTTGAAATAGAAACGTTATTTTTAGCTTCATAATCCAAAAAATAATTACGAGTATGTGACTGCTGATAAATCCGGAGCAAGATGCACAAACCCTTGCATCTGCTGATGGTAAACTATTCGTAAGATAGGTTGCACCGTTTGGATAATGAACCTTATTGGTACGAGCTTGAATTTTAGAGAGTAGGATAAATTTTTTTAGCAACTGTGAAGGTAGTTCATTTCGAAATCAAAAAGGAAATTCAAATAAAGGAGAAACTGAGCAGTTCCATGCAATATACTTTAAGAGCACAACGGCGATAAGAAAACAACACCATATAGGTATATTATTACCTACTCAGCTTGCTGCGAGGTTACTCTGCTGTCAGCGCTCCCAGAACGTCCCCTCTTCTCCAAATACCTTTTTCCCGAATTATTCTGTTATAGCTCCAACGTCCGCTGATGCAAACCATGTTTCCGCTTTTTTTTGTTTCTAACGTTTCGCTCACTAACCTCAACAGATTGATCACAGGTGCAGCTGAAATGATACACCATCCCCTTCTTATTCAGAAGACACCGAAGCTTCTGTGCGAAATCTGACTTCGTCCGAGCGCCGTATTAATGTTTATGAATCGTAAGCAGAGCAGGAGTCTTAGGAAATTAAACAAAAAAGGAATTACGTTTACGGTAGTAAGCTATAAATTCGTAGACCGAATGCACTAACGACATCAAGAATAGAACGCGTTGAATAAAACTGCATTGAAGTTCAAAAAATTTAATTTAAGTAATTCAACTGCTTGTAGCATTCATTTGCACAGCTTATGAGTCTATGAACAACTTATCAACCTATGAACAGCTTCATTTTCAACACAGTTATCACCATACAACACAGTCAGTAGCAGGTTGCTGATTAATAAACGATATGTAACAGCATTTTGCTAGCGTTAACTGGATTTACAAATAAACCTTAAATTTGGCTTTGTAGAAATATGACGAATCATTAACCCCTACTTGTTTAGCAGTCTCATACATAGGACAAGTCAGAATATTATAAAAACAGAAGAGCATAGTTGTGCTACCATTTTGACAGCTCCATCAGATCTGCTAAAATCACGACAATAAGTAAGACAATGCCCTTAAGATGTGTTGGAGTTGCTCACCTTATTAACTCTGTCATGTGTCGAAGTTTCGTTCTTTCTCATTTCCGAAACGAAATCGGACAGCTGGTCCGTTAGGAAAGGACATTTTAGAGTATTGAGGAAATACGACTTCTCGGGTACGCTGTTCACGGTCCAGGCGATGACATGGACGCCCTGTTGGCGCCACTTCTTTATATAGTTCCTAAACATGTCATAATCATGTTGATTGTCAACGGCGAAACACCACGAGCACCACTTACGCAGACAACGCTTTATGTTCGACTAGAAACAAAGTAGATCCCGTGATCTTCGAAACGACGTGATGCAAAAACCAAGAATATATCTTGTCGACCCTGGCAGCAAAGAAACGAGCTAGCGGGCTTAGGTAGTATTCTTCGGCGGTCTGACAGGACTTCTGAGTAAACAATCCCGGACACCAAGTGTGGCCAGCAACGATCTTTGGGTCACTTCTTCTGATCTGAATTAGCAAATGGCGAAACATCAATTACGCAGTAGGCAAATTCATTTAAAATTGTTCAAAAATGAGGCAAATTAGCGTATTAAAATTGAACTAAAAAAATCAAAAGCAATCTGACCGGCCTTCTTCAAAAATCTTCAATCAGATCTCGAAGAATGCTAGTGAAGTATGAGCTGACACGTCAGTATTTGTCTGTCATCCCATTGCGTTTTGCAGGAATAAATGGTCCTTGCGTTGTTTCAGTAGTACGACTACGAAATCACGAACCAAATATTTTATCCTGTGGAAAACCAAGCCATGAAATTAAGTCAATTTAATATACACTTGTCGGTTCTGCGGATTCTCAGGTGTGATCGGTATTCTGTATTAATTAATTTCTACTTCTACTAGCACTCGCGTATATACGACGTGCAAGAGCAAGAAATTGCGTCGAAAACGCACTGCTGTAGAGGAAACACCGATTGATGATACTGAATTCGAAGCGAAGGTGCTCAGGTGCTTAAGCAGTGAAAACACGCATGCGCGTCATAAATCTATGATCGAGATGAAACTTTTCAATACGAGCAGTGGTTAGCGTCAGTGGCAACAGCTGCTTCATGCAACTACCGGCTGGGCTGCGAGGGCAGCAGATAGCCTGGAAGGAGAAACCATGGCATCACCGACAAAGATATGGTCCAGACGCGCATCTAATTTTGTATGGAAGTTAGTCATATCTGTGACACTTCAGTAAATAAAAAAATGATGAATCGCAAATGCTGAAATTGCCAGTAACAAAGATGAGACCTTCAGCATTCGATGATAGAAATTTTGCACCAGGAGGATCAATGAAAGCTTAGATATTTTGGCAAACGGTATAAGTTGCACACTATGATAAATCCGTAAAATCAAGGGGCTCTCGGCAAGCAGCGTACAGCCAGGCAATGGTTTCCGTTGACTGAGTGACAAAACAGACGCTGCTGATACTACTTCAGATTATTTCAAACGAGAATCTCACCGCCCCGCATTGAAGAACCAACAAGTACGTGTTAAATTAAACAGTGATAGCCAAATCAGCTTTTATCAGTAAACACAGAATACTGGTAGCAGTATTTGTCCATAAGGCACAAAACGCAATGGATTAGAAACATACTTGGATAGCTAAAGGTGCCGGGTTGAAACCGATGCGTGGGGCTTAAAGTTTTCTTTACACTTGGATTGGTAGGTCATCGACGATGAATCGCCAGGGCGTAATGCGCCCCATTTCTCACGGTTTCGAGCCTTGCCCCTTTACACGTAGCGTTCCCGGATCCTTGTGTAACGTTTTAATTTTCACCGTCGTGGGCGATCGAACGGCCTTCTCAGCCCGCTAGGATATCAGTCGATGATAATCTCCCGTTGGTGAGATAAGTTAATGCTCGGTCCAGCGTAAATTCTCCGGTTTGATTTCGACGATAATGTCCTTCGTTCCGGTCCGCTGTCTGATCAACGAGTTCAGGATGTGGTCATAAAGTCAGATTCCCAACATTCTTCTTTCCGTGGCACTCCTCTTCTTTAGTGGATGATCACATCTCACAGTGAAACAACATTACTGGCAGACGGTAGAATTCAACAAGTGGGCAAGGGTTTCTGTCCTGATGTTGCCGAAAAGTTGGTACTTGATAAAATGGAACGGGCGCTAACCGACCCTCTTCCTTAACAAACTTTTTCTCTTATTAACTGCCAATTTCTATGAGCGAGGAATACATCAACTCTGCTTCTGTGCAACTATCCGGAAAACTGAGAGTAGGTGGTCGACATGCGGCTAAGAGGGATAGCATGGTGCCTTGGTGTGGTGGCATCAATGTATGCGAGACATGCAGCCGTGCTGTCTGACACCAGCTTTGCAGCTGCAATCCGCCTTCATCCACAACACAGCTGACTAATTATACGCACAAGATTTCATGTAAATTTAGAAAAACTTCTATTTAATGGAAGAAAGGAAGAATTATTTTAACCAATTCGATTTTTGTCACGCGTGTCAATAATTAGTGCTATGTCATTTGTAAACCTATCTAATTTCGTGATAACTATAGTGCTACCCTAACCTTTGCACTGATGCCTCCAATCAGGAATGAAGAAATATTTATAGCTATGGGATCAGTACAATGAGCGTCCTCTCATGTTCCCATGCAATATGCACTCAAGTACTTACTTCAGATAGAAGAAAGGCAAGTGACTTGAATGTAATGAAATAACTCATGGGTAATTCGGTAATAGTACAAATTTCGCTAGAGCTTCAGAAGTTGATGTGCCATTGCAGCTTCTAGGGAAGGGAACTGAGGATTACGACAACTCTCAAGTCATAAGACAAAAAACTCATTTAACGATCGATTGGTTGACTTTACTTAAAGAAGGATCAAATGGAGAAGAGTCTATCTTAATCTAAATATTTAACTCTGCTGAAAGTCCGTTCAGTTTTCATATGGCATTTAAATTTACCTTGCACCGTCAGTCAAAATCATGGTAATTCGCGTATTAATTCAGATTTAAAACCATATTTACACATTAAGAAATATGTACCCAGTAAGCCACTTGTGGATAAAATGAAGCGACAGCAACGGAATCATATATGTGCGGATCTTCCTTAAACACATCCAAAATCGTGTCACTGATCTAAAATAACCAAGTAAAGAAAAAATCAAAAGTTAACAGCTTAAGACAATAAAAACAATCATAAACAGACCAAACACCCGAATAACGCAACCAACTTGCAACAGCCCACAAATTAACAAGAAAATAAGAACTTTCATGCTTACACATTGTCAATCACAAAAAAAACATCTAGGACACGACAATCGCACAACGGAGAGCGGCGAACGATGATCAGAGAAGCACATGCTAGAGAAATCTAAGCAGGTGGGAGGCCACTCTCTTTAGGAATGTCTTCCGTTCTGTTAGAGTAAACAAAGAATCTCTGACCATACTCGCTTTTTCGAGCATTCTCTGCCCTTCACTGCTCTCTGCTGCTCACTACAATAGCTTCACTCGATCATGACGAAAAACTTAATGCAAGAAACATACTGGTGACAAATTATTTCTTCAGTTGAATAAATTTTTTATTAAATTATTTATGGATAAAAAAGGAAAATGAATTTTGCTTAACCAAGCAATTTTGTGATAGCTCTTGCACTTAGTACAATGTTCATTTGCGCTAATACCATAGAGCCGTAGTCTGCTTAAAGGATAACGCTAGAACACTAAACGTAAGGGATGAATCTGGTATCAAAAGTTGAAATGTAATAATTACTGGTGGAATCGAAAGGTTAATGAACGCTTCAGAATCTCCTCCAGAACATCCGGTATATCCATTGTTTAGAATGTAATTTTACCATTAATGTTTAGGTGAATGTCACACCGGAAATGATTAGGCAAAAGTGGTTAAACTTATTAACTTGCTCGATGTCATAGCCGTCTAGGATTCAGAGTGCTCATAGGATATGATTTTTCAGCTCCTACCAAAACGAGGTACGACAAGTCCGCCAAGATCAATTTTGAGAGCTGGCTGAAAAAAATGAAGCCTGTAATCGCTAAGTATCCGTTTCCCCACGAAGGGTATGACAAACTCTATTACTGACAAAGTGCTGAGTTCAGAAGCGACGAAAAGAAACCCAAGAGGCAGAACCGATAAACTGATATTCTTCAGCTTAACGAGCTTGAGAAAGATATGAAGTTTGCTTACTGCTGAAACGCAATCGACCGATTTCCGTTGAGGCTTCAACAAGATTATGAGGTAAGCGGAAGAAAGATATCAGAGAATAGAAAATATCAAAATTGCCAAATCAGAAATGCCAGTTCGAAAATTAACGGAAAGCTTGGTTGGACAGGTATGAATAAGAAGCGATGGATTCTTCACGAGCTTGAAGCATACGACGCAGTACAGAGATCGGCGAAATAGCCGAAATCAGCGGAACGTTGGCATGCCTTTCAATTTTGTGCATGGGAGCCATTGTGACACAATTTTTAAAAACGACACTTATGGTGTGGCGATAAGCTCCATTTCCACGGTTTCAGTCAAGAATATAATGCAGCGTTTTAAGGTTATATCTAAAGTCAGGTGATCATTGGAACATGCAGTTTCTTGCTTACTGCCCATCAGAAGTGGTACTCATTACTTCCGTCGAAAGGAGGAAAAATTGAATTGATCGCAGTTTGAACTCAAAACCTTTCGAGTGTGAGTCGCTTAATCTAACAAATGAGCAACCTCGTCGGGTGGATGCCCCCTTATACAGTTCCATGCAAGACAGTATACTGACAGACGTGGTACGGATGAAGATGCAACGTGAAGTTCTGTGTTTTCGAAGAAATCGTGAGGAGGATGCTCTGCATTCTAGGATATTACGAATGACAACGGCGCAGAAAAACGCTAATAGTGAGATCGAACAGAGAAGTTACGACTGCCATTTAATGAATATCGTGGCGATGTGGAATTCGAAACGAGACATTGGCATTAACAAGGATTGTAAAAGCGACAGGAGGAGGCAACACAGGTACGCGAAGATGGTTAAAGCAAGCAATGATAAGGATATAAAATGAATCAGATCAGTTAAGAAATATTGTCTCGTTCTTCTTACGGTCACGGCTGCAATCAGCCGGTGCGAAGGAGATAAAAACGCTGCGAACTTAAAGCTACCCTTACATGAGTGACGGTCTTACCACTTCATCTGGCCTGTGTATGACGGCCTGACATTACCATACGCAAGTCTGGCGTAGCAGTCCAACTAATGTTCGAAATTCTGATGCAAAACTCAAGCAGTGCACAATATGGGTTTCATCATCCCACGATGAAGAACGTCCCTTTTGGAAGAAAACAAGACGATCAAACAGAAACAGCCACAGTTTAGAAGCCGATTGGTCAACTGGTGCGCACAAGTAGGATAAAACGATCTGGGGCGAGAATCTGAATTGCCGTTGGTGAATTCTCAAATAAATATCATGATACCTAATTTTACGGTGTGCATGTTAGAGCAATCATCACTCTGAACTGTGTGCATAACAAGAACGTCTTTGGTTAGTGATTCGCAGCATTTCGACACTACGCCGGTTACAGCATCGTAGAATGAACAACTCCTTTCCAAATGCAGATCTGTCTTGCCATGTTCCTGCACATCGCATAATGGCCTGCCGCTGATGTTTGCCGTGTTTCGGCTCGCACGCAAAAAGCTAGCGCGATGAAGTTTTTCTAACAGGAAAAACCCGTTCTTAACTTGCTCAACGATGGGGTGCATAGCTCCGTCCGGAACAGTTTATGATTCGTCCGTTACGCTGTTTTGCCAACGCTATTGTAAACAGTTCAAATCGTCGTCATTTGTAATTATTTCCATTCAAAAACACTGACCTGACAGACAGAGTCTGTCCATAGCTTTATGAAGATAGAGCTGAATGAAAATAATGTATTACAAAAGACTGATTTGAGACTGGAATAAAACAACAACCAGACATACTCGTGGATCCGGACGTTTGACGTCGATCAGCACCTTCAGTCGTAACTGGCTGCACAACCTCAGAGCTTGTTTCAGGGTCGGTATTCTCTGAACGTCGTACTTCTGTCTAAACCGTTCCACGGTCAGAAAGCACTACCTTGGGGGTTTAAATATTTAGAGCATACCGGTGGCTAAATTTGGCAGCCGCGTTCAGATTCTTTAGCTGCGAATAGTTCATCCGTCTAACTGCGCCGACGCCGTTCGTCGTTCGGTTGACGTGGTCGTCGTGCATTAAAACCACGACGTCGTCAGCGGTCACTTCCACGTCCAATTCGACCAGATGAGCGCCGAGCTCGTAACTTTTGCGAATGGCCACCAGCGTGTTCTCGGGGGCATCGAGCGAAAGACCGCGATGGGCTCCGACCCTGAAACCGCGCATGAACGCATTGCCTTGCTCGAAGTCAGCCCGGTTGCAGCCCAGCAAATAGAAAATCATCAACGTAAGCGGCACAACGGCCGAAAAAACCGTCGACCGCAGCAGCGATGCCGAACAGAACCGCAGAGTGACGAGGAACAACAGCACGATCTCCATAGGCACCGCATCGGCGATATCCAAATTCCAGTCGGCGGCGACCATGACGGCTTTGGAAGTATTTCCTAAACACATAATGACTTAAATATATTCAACCTGTGCATCTGTTCGAGGAAGCTTGTGTTCGCAAGTGGTGCATCATTACACATTGGTCAGACTCTCACAGACATTACATAGCATTACACTGTTTTCATTTAAACGTTTTTTGTGCCACTGACTATGGCCGCTACTTTCAAAGATATTTAAACATCAGAACCCTGACATGACTTAGGCGAACATCAATCAGTAGGTCTAGACAGAAAGGCTAGTCACAGCTGCACTAATCCTCGAAGACATCTACAAATGGAGCATATATTACGCTTAGTTTGTAAATGATGAGGTGCGGTGTATGATGATCAGTCTGTCAGGGGTGAAACAAAAAATTTGATAAAATCGGATGCAGATCTTAAGAGGCGATGAAGAGTACTGGTACCAGAGTTTAAGCCTCAGGGACACAGAAGATGAAGCAGAAAACAAAACAAGACAACAAGAGATAAGACTTTTACAACAGGGCCATTTATGACCAGTGCGACTGAACTAAGCTTCAAAACTGGCTACCTATGGGTACGGAGTAGGTGAGGCACAACTCAGCGCTTATGCTGGTGCTACACTGTTTTGTAGTTAATTTTAATACACAAAATTATATATTCTACGTAAATTAAAACAGCAGTGTACCACACGTAACAGTGAGAACTCGTATATACATATTTAGTCGCAGTTTAGCACATATATAAATTTCATTATTTCTTACACACGAACTATACATCCTCGTAAAGTGATAATAACGTAATCATAGTTATATACTACTCGATCATAATACACTATAACTAAATTACCATGAATGCATATGGCATCATAAAGCAATTGCAACCATATTGCACAGAATCGTATGGCACACATCTTTAACGCTAACTAAAGAGATTCATACTGTAATACAAAGCACTCATATGCTCAATGATCGAGTGCAATCATGTGCACAGGACTTCATGAATTTATACACAGATCCATATACAGCTACACACAGCAGAATATACTACTAGTATTGCTACATATATCGCTATATACTACCGCCTAAGTGCAAAACTCCTGACGTATTGCAGGGGTCCGCCGTTCGTAGACATTTGGGGACCATTTCAGCTAAGCATGGCCACGTTATGAAAACACATTTTGTAACACAACTGATGATGAACACGTTCATCAGTAAAATGAGGCGAAATACGTCTAGCAGTGCAAGAATCGAAATACCATGGAGCTCCGAAGCAACTAAGGAAATGACGCAATGCAATGCGTCAAGAAACCTGATTATAGCGCAGTTCAGCGTCTGTTAACACAATCAGGTACGCGAATTTATATTTTGACCATTTCTTCAAACGCTCGTTCTATATTAAGCTACGCGTAACTGCTCTAAGACCAAATCTCAAAGTATTGCGTCAGCCTTGCTACAACCCCGCCCCTTGCGCTAAACGACTAGCCGTGAAATTTGGTCTATGAGGAGTGGTGTTTAAATCAACATGCTGCAGAGTACGAATAAATATTTCAGTGTTTAGCCGGAGGCAGATAAAGCACACAAGCTTCTGAAGCATTATTCGTGATAAGCATCAGTTTGCTTTAGCGAGCAGAATGTCAGATGCATATAACGCAAGAAACGTTGAAACACCATGGGGTCGTTACATGTATAAAATATCACGGCGTGATGCTTAAATGTTCGTTCATGTGCCTAGAAACACGGGGATGATTTCATAACTTCGCGAAATCATTGTTGACTAAGGGGTTAGATCATTGTACCAGAACAGCAACAGCATCACAGTGAAATAGTCCAATAACTGTATCACATTTATACCATTAATATAATTCATAACTGTAAAACTGTTGTATGATGTCACCCCAGAACAACTTTCCGTAGTTTCCAACTCTTTGAATTTTATCTGATCTGTTTTCAAGAAGCAACATTAAAGAAGGCAAAAACATTCATTTTTGAGTAGTTAACTATAAGCATAAAATAAATTTTATTAAGCAAAATACTGTCATTACAATAGTGCACCAGAAATAGAGTACAAACGTACTACTGCCAGGGCACACTACTTCAGCACAATACTTTTCTACTGCAATATCATTAATCAACAAACGTGAATATGACTGCGAAACGTTAACAACGGTTAAGATACATGGTGAACAGTTGTGGTGAGGTCAAAATTTCTGTTTATCCCTAGAAATCTGATTACTCTTAAAATCCGGAACACAGCACGACACGAAGTTTAACAACTTTACGACAGTTCAAACGCCAAACGAAATGAAGTCAATACCTTACAGCAGACAAAAAGTAATCTTTTGAATTTGATGGCAAGAAGTACCTACACTTTGTGCGCAGACACGTGACATTTAACAAAAACATTATTAAAACCTTTATTCAGTATACAATTGGTTATCAAAATTGTTTACAACGGGTTTGTTCCACACAACCATACATTTTATAAATTGCCTGACGTTTCAGATAACTGGATTCAACGTCATGGATTATATTACAGGAGCACAGTTCATAAGGTACGTTAAACAGCAGAGACAGAAATGATTTAGTGTAGCATTTAAACTTAGATTACATATTATTGATCAGAATAATATGCCACGGTGATATATATACCGCTAATCGCCACAGACATCAACTAATGTCACAATTGAGACAATAGTTTTATTCATATTTTATCATTCAAACAACAGTACAGAATGTGAAAGAAAAACAATGCGCATAAAAATATGGCGATAAAAACGACGACGGCTCAGAAAGAGAGACGATGCTCAGTGCCGTTGGGAAGCACGAGAGCGACGGTTTTGGTGGCGAGCCAAACGAACCGCAGACGATCGTTTTTTAAAGCAACGACTTTGTTGTCAGGCGTCGTTGGAGGAATGGAAAACTGACGAATGCATTTCACTTGGCTCTGACCCATGCCAAGGAAAGACTGGGACATCTGATAAAAAAGAAGAATGTTAGAAGCGAGTGAACGGAACCGCGCAGCGGGTAAAATGCGATATCATACCTGCCACAGGTTCACCCTTCCCTCTTCGCAAGAACAAGTGGCCAGGTACTTTCCATCATCTGAAAAGCTACAGATCGAAACGCACCTGCTATGAGCCTGAATAACCTATAAAAGAACTATATGAACGCTGCTGAAAAAGAAGCGATGGCTACTATTAATTTAAAGCAGTTGATTTCCAGGACACAACTACTTTGCTACTTCAGATAGATCACTCACTGAACAGATTAGCGTCGATTAAGGCACTGAACAAACTGTTTGTGCTGAGACAAAAAACTATCAGATCGGCTATAATCAGGAAACACCACTAAGACCATCAGCACAGTTTATGACGAACGTAATTTACATTTTAGGTGGTGAGATCTGCATTTCCGGGTCCAGACGGCTGAAATGGCCTTCGCGAATGCACAATCGAACAGCTACTAGTTGCACAACCTATTGGCTGAAAATCCCGGGTGCTACCAAGAATGATTTGAGGTTTGGGGCAAATGACTCGACCAACTCTGGTCCAGACCCAGGTTCTTCTCAGTCAGGCGCTCAAATGCTGGAACAGGATCGTTAACGTTGGAGACAGTGTCTGACTCATCTGCCTCAGCGACCCGAAAGGATAAGCGGTCATCGAAACAGAGTAATTAATAAGGTACGTGAGATTTGCAAAAAAATATTCAAAGTAGTTTACCGCCTAATAAATTCACATATTCTATTTACTGCAGGTGTTGAATAACGTTTTGTG